GCTATGAGCATATTACGTCAAAGGTTTGGAAGACCTTCAATGATTGTGAGGAACGTATACGAAGCTGTCAAAGGTAACGGCAGTCAACTTCAAGATGAATCCAAGGCACTTACTGAGTGTTTAGATAGTCTTATGACTTATAAGAATACCTTGATTTCGATGAATTGCATGAGTGACCTCAACTCGAGTTTTGTCCTAGAAGTAATAGCAAGACGCCTACCTACTCGACTGCAAAGGAAGTGGGTGAAGATAAGCTCCCGTATGGAGGATGAGGGTATCGAGCCAAAATTTGATGATATCCTGAAACTAGTGAAAAATAGTGTCAGTCAATCGATGAGCAAGTTTGCCAGTCTATTACATCTCACCCCTAGGATAGAGCAGTCTGAGGGTAAAATGCAATCATTGATGACGAAAGAGCCTCAGAGAGGTGGATATCGAGAAGGCTCCATGATGTCTGGTAATGCATATAGACCTAGTGAGTGTAACAGGTTTCGTAGTACATCCTCAACAGATAAGTTACAAGATGCAAGACAAGCACGGTTGTGTTTTACACGTTTGCAAGAGGTGCATACAAAGGTGAACTGTGAACCAGTGAGCAAGTTCAGTGATAAGCTAAATGTAAACTCCAGGCCTGACTCCAAATTGTGTGACGATAACGGTGCGGTCAGGAAGTCTGTAGTTGCAACTGGTAAGCCATTGTTGAATAGAGTGTCACAGAATATAGTTGCTGCTTCAGAGTGCAGTTCTGACCCTACAAGTTTACAAAGTATAACTAGTCAGAGTGAAGATATAAAACCTTTAATGATTTGTGAGGAGGAACCAAAATTGTCTACTTCTGTTATTAAAGAGTTTGAAAATGATCAAGTTGACGGTAAATTGAATATTTGTGGTAATGATCATGATAGTGCAGATTTCTCTTTGGTTGATCATGATGAAATGGAGGGAATGCCTACTACCGCTAAGTTAAATAAAGGTTCTGTAGAACTTGAACGTGAAGTAGAAATAAATGCAGATTCAGTTGCAGAAGGCATGCGTACTTGTGAGACCGTCAGTGTGATTGATCAGCATGTAGCCCACCTATCATCAGATGCTAGTGTTAAACCTGAGCTGATAGTAAAAGACAGCAGTGGTGTTGGTCTTGCAGGTAGACAAACTTCTGAAAGCCGAGCAACAACAGCTTTTGATCCACCGCTAACTTCATCAACTGGTATCAGTCGGTCATCGTTGGTGTTGTCATCCACAATGAAAAAGACGCCCATCAACTCAAGTATCTTGTGCAATGACTATGATAGTATTGGTGGGTTTGAAAGGACGAAAGATATTGCTCAATTTAGTGAGGATAAGCCAAGTGTAAACGAGAGAGTAATTGTTAAATTGACTTGCATGAATAAAGACATTTCTAGTTTCAAGTTACTATTTGAATGTTATTATCTTTGGTGTAAATTACTCTGTTTCTACACTTGGTTGATCAGATACTTCGTGTGTTTGTTCGTCATCTATATTCTACGATACAATGACACGGGCGTGTTACCATTCAGATTTGGGGATATAGCTGATAGAAGGAAGTCAGCAAATGAACTCTGCAACGATTTTCCAACCTAGTGCGTCAACCTGAGAAGGGTTGTAGGCGTACTGCTGTAAGTCCTACAGTTCTTCAAAGGGTAGCGCATCAATGAGCAGTCCAATGTGCTCGGTGTGTGATTTTGTACATATGTTCATATTGTATATACTGAATTGGTATCATCTCTCATCCAGCTGTTGGCAATTCTGTTTGTGTCCGGACGACTTCCACTTGTATCATCAACCTGAGAAGGAATGTAGGCGTACTGCTGTAAGTCCTACAGTTTTTCAAGGGTAGTTTGTCGTGTCAGAATCCACAACATTTGATGTAGCGATTGTACATGTGTTTGTGTTAAATAATTGTGTGAGTTCCAATTATTGTAATTGTTGAATAATCTTGTTTGTGTCCGGACGTTCCACAACTTACAATGGTCAACCTGTGAAGGTTTGTAGGCGTACTGGTGTTAGCCCTGCGATTCTCCAAAGGAATTCCATCAAGAAATGAACTGCGAGTTTGTGTGTACTGTTTGTATATATGTGTGGTGTGTCATATCAGTTGGTGTTTTTTGGATTCATTGTGTTTACTCGTTGTTTTCGTACCTTGTTGTTATTGCATAATTTTGTTAAAATTTTCGTCGTGATTATTTCTGAAGTTGTGTCCACTCTTCTACATCCATGAATGAATTGATTGATGTTAAGGACAGCAGATGGGGCGTATACGCCGGGGAGGCTAGGCTATTGCTGAGAATGAAATGCACACGGAGATAATTGTTAGCTGCGGTCCGACACGCCGGGGAGAAAGAGTGTAAACGGCTGAGGCTCGCATGCGTCACCGTTACTAGAATTGAGGCAGAATGAGTGACAAGCGATTGCAGTGGTAATTGGTAGTGAGTAGATAAGAGGATGTGCGTGGAGTATCGTGAGGTGGTGCTATGGTCACGTTGCATTCTGCAAGAGTCATTCTAGCAAGTGGCGATTGTGTTGCAAGATATCAAGAGGAGGTCTCTGTCTGGAGGCGCAGGTCGTCAGCGATGTGTGAGATTGTGCTGTGGGTATGCTTGTGGTGTGTTGGCTTTTCTGTTTGTTTTCCATTTCAGCTCTGTCCGTGTGACCCAGGTTCTCGCAATGGCATCCAAGTCAACGTGTATTGGTCGTGAAGGAAAAAAGGGTTGGATCCGTATTTTGCCGGGGAGTGTCAATGGAGTTGAAGATTGAACGATCAATTCTTGGTTGTTTGCTCAAAATTAACTTCCCCAATTTTCGCGGAGGCATCAATACGACAGTCATCGTCTCATCGGTCGCTGTTCAGAAAGAAGAGTGAAACATCGTCAGAAGTAATACAATGATTTATTATTGTAATATTTGTTTTCAGACCTTAGTTTACTTATTCCTTTTATATGTTGGTGTAACAATAAAGAAATCTCAAGCGGCCAATCGGTGTTTTGGTTTTTTCGTCCGTTATAACTGAGCGTTTCTGAAAACTTTAAGGAACAGCGTGGGCCCGAGCGCAGCAAGAGCTGGGCATTAACGGTTTATGAGACGTGATTTACAGTCATCATATGTTCTGGATGAGACTGACAGTTTTACTTTAAAAACTCTTTGGGAATGTCTGACAACGAGTGTTAAAATGTTTCACGATTACACGAAAGATGTCTACCTGCGGTGAAATTTACCAGTTCAGGCTGTCTGAGGTTTTTGTAGAGTATGCAGAAAAATTAACCAATCCTTAGTTTGTGTACCCAGTTTGAGGGAAACTTATTTGCGAACACACTAAACTCTGGCGGAAAGAGTGAAGAGTAATAGAGCTCTTTCTGAAAAACAAAGTAAGTGTAAAAGAGGATTGAAATGTCGCTTAACTGTAAGTCTTCGTCTCTGTAAGGCATGAAAGCACAAGTTTTTCTTGACTTATTTGGATAAAGTGAATACTGTGGTGTATCCAACAGTAATATGCACCAAAGAAAGTGACACAAGGGTACCTTCACAGAAAAACTGCACTGGATAATGAACTGATTCCCACAGACTCGTGATTGAGCTTTGAGGTCCTCGTGACACTTGAATCATCAAGAGTCTGTAATGTCACAAACTCGAAGGTCTTAGGGTTGGAGGTTATTCTGTCATTCAGATAGGTTCCTGAGTTTGGTTCCCGAAGTGCAACAGGAAAAGGTTACAAATGACTCGTGAAAAGAAATGTAGGAAATGGAGGTCCATCCCAATGCGGACATTTCGCAATGGACTGAAAAATGTCGATTGTTGCTGTAAATAATAGTAAGTAGTAATTTAATTCACTTCATATTGCCTGCTCTGGCAGTTTCTCACAGAGATCTGGTGGTAATTTTGGCTGTGAGTTACTCCTCACTATCACCGAGAGTGGCCCGGAGCAAATTGAAGAGTGCGAAATACACCCTTCGGTCTCACTCGATTGCCTTTCCGACAAATATGACGTCACCAGATCATCTCGGAAACAGCAATAATACCAGCATACACTCGCGCTTGGTTAGTAGTGAAGGCAAGGTGTTGCCATTCGGTAGAATCATCTGTAACAAACATATATATATCTGTCAAAAGACTACCTCAATTTATTCTCCGTACTAATTACTTTGTCACTGACCAAAGCCAGTTCTGTTCAACATGTTGCTTAATTAAACCGAGCCCTCTAGGAACTTGAGGGCTCCGTTGTCTCTCCATCAAGAACACATGGCCCAACAGTAGACTAAATGGCTGTCTTTCAGTCAGCCTAACGAGGAACCATCAAGCAACTAATGTGTACCTTTCGCATTCTACAGGAAACAAATTTCCGCTAATGATCAACGCGGGTTTAGGTTTGGTAATCATTGCTTGCGATGAAAAGTCTATGTCGAAAGTTAAATGACAATGTTTCTACTGATATCGATTTATTTGTCTGACTCTGACTCTTTGTCGGATCTCCCTATCAAGGCAAGATGTTTCGGGATTAACGGAATAGCTAGGGACTGATTTACAGGTACAATTACAGATTAATGGTACAAACGAGTGGTTAGCATGATAACGTACCTTCAATTCCATGTACCGAAGATTTCTCACACAGGAATAGGGGTGAAATGTTCAGAGAATATTCTGGTCCTTCCAGCCGAAAAAATTAAAAGATGTGATGTTTTATCACTGTCCTGTCTGAAGATAAATGCTACTCACGGATATGTACTATGTTGTACATGTCGGTCCAAGCGCTAATTCACCTCATAAATTTCTACCACTTAAACCAGCGTAATGTGGGGACAAAAGACATAGGTTAGATGACAACAAGTGCACCTATGCGTTTGAATCTATAACTCCCTTGGATTTAAATACAAGTGAAATTCCCCTAGCAATGCACATAGTTCCAGTGCCTTATAGTAATTTATTTAGAATAAAATAGGAATTTCACAGACCAGAAAATTCGAGGCATTATAACTGGCCTGGATATTAATTCTGAAGAGCAGATACCAAACACTGGAATCCCTTTGTTCAAGAGTGAAGAAAAGCATTACTGTAGTTGCTCGTAATTCTGATTTGAAACTTTGCGTCTCAGCGTCTGCCAGCATGGGACTCAAACCTGATGAGTTGATAATCCAGGGGAAAAGAGAACTGGTGTGTGGGAACATCATCAAAGCGGTCGAAAGCTTTGAAAAAGCGTGCGAGGTTCTGTAAGTTCTAGTTTAACATCAATATTTTCAGATCTCTTACGTTAGGTGATTTACACGAAAAGCTTGCCACTCCAAATTTGCTTTATGGTACTGCTCTCCTCGAATTATCGCGAATGGAAAGCAGTGTTATTGGCAATGCACTGGATGGAAGTTAGTTATAATTAATTTTCTATTTTCCTTAGTACCTGATGTCGGTGATGACTCAGAATCAGATGATGAAGCCGTTGAACCTACAGCCCTAACAGGTACGACAGGTCCCCCATTGTTTAACTTTTGTAGCTGAGGAGAAGGATGATCTATCCAATCAAGTAATAGATGCAATGGTGGAGGAACAGAAGCAGGAGGACCATGAGTCTGATGATTCGGAGACAAGTGACGAAAATGGTGAACTTAGTGCGACTGATAAGACCGCCGGGGAAAACTCACCAGTCGACACTGCTGCAGATGTGGAGGTTCCAGCTGAGGGTGATAAATCGGATGGAGAGGAGACTGAAAATGGAGGTACGGAAATGCCTACATCTGATGATGGTGAAGAAGTGTCAAACCTCCAAATCGCTTGGGAAGTTATTGAAGTCGCAAAAAATATATTCTCACAAAAGAATGATGATGACAGCAAGTTAAGTGTAGCTGAATGTTTGGAGAAACTTGGTGAAATTAGTCGGGAGAAGGAGGATTATGATCAGGCGATAGAAGACCTGAAGGTATGTTAAGTTATGTTAGCCTTGCTTAAAACAAATACCATGTATGTATGTATCAAAACAGTTTAGTAATAGTCACGGAATTTATGCGCTTTTCGACGGGAAAGTCGGAACACAGCAGAAAAAGATCAAAAGCCAAGGAGGAACCATACTGCTATGGAATGCGGGTTCTCATACCGAGTTATAAACCTGTATTCGACTCCCAGGAAAAAGTGATCTGCAACCTCAACTGATTCATTCAATAGAGCTTTAGACAAACATAATTTTCCTTGAAAAGAATTAACATAGGTTCCAGGCCTTCCATCAATCAACAAATATGAATATAAATAGAATATAAATATTCTATTACTAGGACATCATTCGAAGATATCTGCGCATTCTACTCAAAGTAGTGGTTACAATTAAAATTCATACTCCCTGTTTATCTCGTCACCGAAGTATGAACCTGGTCGACTGAGAGTAGGTTACCTTCCTAACTTGTGTGCAAAAGACTAGATAAGCATATCTGTAGTCGATGATGGTATTCAGAATTTCTTCCAGGCTTACGGCTGAGTTGTTTATGAAATTTAATTCATATTAGAAGTCAGAAATTTCGAATATGACACAAGTACATTGGTGTGACTCAGCTACTAGTTGCTGTATTAAGTACTTGATATATGTACCATATACTCGACGGATTTGCTGCACACAGAATGCTCCCTGCACCAATAGTAACCTCACTTCAGCCTATTGATTATCTTTGATTTTTTTAAATGCCCAACTCGAACATGGGAAGGCTTAAAGATGTACGCATATGAGAGCATCTGTGAATGATTGAGATTGTCTTAGCGCAGCAATTTTTGTCTCGATTGTTTACCTGAGTTCTTTTTCACTTTAAGGAGTGCTTGCAAATCCGATTGGGCGTTCTGGGCAAGTCAGATCGTTCTGTTGCAGAATGCTACTATCAACTAGCTGCAACCTACGCCGTTTCCGGAGACCTAGGTAACGCAAAGAGCTCTTTTGAAGAATCAGTTAACTGCCTTAAGAAGCTAGCGGAAGATATTAGAATAAAAATAGCACTAATCAAAGAAGATACTAAGGAAGAAGAAAGTTTACTACAAACACACCTTAAAGAATTAGAGACTCTCATTTCGGATATCGAGAAGCGCTGCGCAGAAATCGAGGAAGATCGATTAGCTGGCAATGTGATTACTTCTGGACCAACCGTCGAACCATCTAACGGTGACGTTGAGCCGGCGGACGATATATCACACTTAGTAAGAAAGAAACGCCCTGTTGCCGCTACTGTTTCCGAAAATTCTTCTGAAGTTCAAAATATTCAAACAGACGGACACAGTCATCCCGACCCAAAGAAACCAAAACTTACTGATAGCAATGGGGTAAAAATTCCTGCCGAAGAAGAAATCTAGGCGGTGAGTGTGTCCCACTACAACCAAAGATGCCTCGGGAACTGCATTTAACTTGCATAGATTTTTACAAAGCATTTATACTATTTTTTGACACAACATTCGTTATGAACTTTTTCGGTGAACTGAATTAAATACCTGGGAGTAATGTGTGTAGTTTGTTTTCCATTATACATACATGGCATATGTCAATGAAAATATTTACCCTTGCGTATATTTTGTTTTCTGTGTCTAAAGCTATAGTCCTACTCGAATGTAGTCAATCTAATATACTGCGATGGTTGTCTAAAGCTACCTCGGTTTTAATCAGTAACAGCCTCGTACGTGCAGATTTTCTGAATCAGTCATGCGTATGATGACCGTGTCATATAAGAAACAATGAGCTCATAATATTTGGGGAGCACCCTACTGTGCTGCCTGTGGATGCAGAGATATCCATACTTCTACAAGAGTACTTCGAAATTTTCAACAGGAAACAGCTCGTATATATTGATTCGAATGGAGGTAGATTATAACCACCTCAAATTTCAACACAACCAGAAATACCGTTTGTGCATCCTCATTCAGGAACACCTATCTCCATGAGGTTGACAAATATATTCACCCAGATAGTACCCATATTCACCTGAGTTCAATAAACTCATTCCACGTATTCATTCAGTATCCATCACCATAACCCATACATCTCACGATCAGACTTCAGTACATCGAAATTTAAAAACCTTGCATATGGACATCACGCAGACATGTCGATCAGGAGGGGGAACAGGATGAGGAGAAATAATATGTGTGTTTGTGTGATGTCAGAGGATGTGGTGAGGATTTGTGATAACCGTGTAAAAAAGTCAGCCTGAGTACTTCTGATCATCCGTGTGAGTGGCACGAATGTCCAGTGTATATTACGTGTTGTCTGTGAAGCGAATTCTCGGTAGCTGTTAGTCACTTCCTCTGGATGGTTGAGAGACTTCTTGAAAATATCGACATGGGAGCGAGAAACCTGGATGTTCAGGGAGAGAGATAGTAGTATTTGAGAGGGAGGATAGAAGCTCGAATAACGATAACATGTTGGTGTAGCTGTATTTGTAGGTGAAGTAGTAGGTGTAGGTGTAGGAGGAGAAATCTTAGAAGGTGTATGTGTATTTGTATATTGAGAGACAATTGTCTGAGAATTTCTGCGAACCGTGTAAACGAATCATCCTGAGTAGTTGTGATGATCGAAGCGAGTTGGTTGAAAGTCTTGTCTGTATTAGGTGGATGTCAGTGAGTATCCGCGAAAGCTGTCACTCTACCTGTTTAGTCTTCAAAGAAGTCCCCAATACATGGATATGGAGAAGACAAGGCTGCATATTGAGACGAAGCAGACATGTCGATCAGGAGGAGGAACAGGATGAGGAGAAATAATATGTGTGTTTGTGTGATGTCAGAGGATGTGGTGAGGATTTGTGATAACCGTGTAAAAAAGTCAGCCTGAGTACTTCTGATCATCCGTGTGAGTGGCACGAATGTCCAGTGTATATTATGTGTTGTCTGTGAAGCGAATTCTCGGTAGCTGTTAGTCACTTCCTCTGGATGGTTGAGAGACTTCTTGAAAATATCGACATGGGAGCGAGAAACCTGGATGTTCAGGGAGAGAGATAGTAGTATTTGAGAGGGAGGATAGAAGCTAGAATAACGATAACATGTTGGTGTAGCTGTATTTGTAGGTGAAGTAGTAGGTGTAGGTGTAGGAGGAGAAATCTTAGAAGGTGTATGTGTATTTGTATATTGAGAGACAATTGTCTGAGAATTTCTGCGAACCGTGTAAACGAATCATCCTGAGTAGTTGTGATGATCGAAGCGAGTTGGTTGAAAGTCTTGTCTGTATTAGGTGGATGTCAGTGAGTATCCGCGAAAGCTGTCACTCTACCTGTTTAGTCTTCAAAGAAGTCCCCAATACATGGATATGGAGAAGACAAGGCTGCATATTGAGACGAAGCAGACATGTCGATCAGGAGGAGGAATAGGATGAGGAGAAATAATATGTGTGTTTGTGTGATGTCAGAGGATGTGGTGAGGATTTGTGATAACCGTGTAAAAAAGTCAGCCTGAGTACTTCTGATCATCCGTGTGAGTGGCACGAATGTCCAGTGTATATTATGTGTTGTCTGTGAAGCGAATTCTCGGTAGCTGTTAGTCACTTCCTCTGGATGGTTGAGAGACTTCTTGAAAATATCGACATGGGAGCGAGAAACCTGGATGTTCAGGGAGAGAGATAGTAGTATTTGAGAGGGAGGATAGAAGCTCGAATAACGATAACATGTTGGTGTAGCTGTATTTGTAGGTGAAGTAGTAGGTGTAGGTGTAGGAGGAGAAATCTTAGAAGGTGTATGTGTATTTGTATATTGAGAGACAATTGTCTGAGAATTTCTGCGAACCGTGTAAACGAATCATCCTGAGTAGTTGTGATGATCGAAGCGAGTTGGTTGAAAGTCTTGTCTGTATTAGGTGGATGTCAGTGAGTATCCGCGAAAGCTGTCACTCTACCTGTTTAGTCTTCAAAGAAGTCCCCAATACATGGATATGGAGAAGACAAGGCTGCATATTGAGACGAAGCAGACATGTCGATCAGGAGGAGGAATAGGATGAGGAGAAATAATATGTGTGTTTGTGTGATGTCAGAGGATGTGGTGAGGATTTGTGATAACCGTGTAAAAAAGTCAGCCTGAGTACTTCTGATCATCCGTGTGAGTGGCACGAATGTCCAGTGTATATTACGTGTTGTCTGTGAAGCGAATTCTCGGTAGCTGTTAGTCACTTCCTCTGGATGGTTGAGAGACTTCTTGAAAATATCGACACGGGAGCGAGAAACCTGGATGTTCAGGGAGAGAGATAGTAGTATTTGAGAGGGAGGATAGAAGCTAGAATAACGATAACATGTTGGTGTAGCTGTATTTGTAGGTGAAGTAGTAGGTGTAGGTGTAGGAGGAGAAATCTTAGAAGGTGTATGTGTATTTGTATATTGAGAGACAATTGTCTGAGAATTTCTGCGAACCGTGTAAACGAATCATCCTGAGTAGTTGTGATGATCGAAGCGAGTTGGTTGAAAGTCTTGTCTGTATTAGGTGGATGTCAGTGAGTATCCGCGAAAGCTGTCACTCTACCTGTTTAGTCTTCAAAGAAGTCCCCAATACATGGATATGGAGAAGACAAGGCTGCATATTGAGACGAAGCAGACATGTCGATCAGGAGGAGGAACAGGATGAGGAGAAATAATATGTGTGTTTGTGTGATGTCAGAGGATGTGGTGAGGATTTGTGATAACCGTGTAAAAAAGTCAGCCTGAGTACTTCTGATCATCCGTGTGAGTGGCACGAATGTCCAGTGTATATTATGTGTTGTCTGTGAAGCGAATTCTCGGTAGCTGTTAGTCACTTCCTCTGGATGGTTGAGAGACTTCTTGAAAATATCGACATGGGAGCGAGAAACCTGGATGTTCAGGGAGAGAGATAGTAGTATTTGAGAGGGAGGATAGAAGCTCGAATAACGATAACATGTTGGTGTAGCTGTATTTGTAGGTGAAGTAGTAGGTGTAGGTGTAGGAGGAGAAATCTTAGAAGGTGTATGTGTATTTGTATATTGAGAGACAATTGTCTGAGAATTTCTGCGAACCGTGTAAACGAATCATCCTGAGTAGTTGTGATGATCGAAGCGAGTTGGTTGAAAGTCTTGTCTGTATTAGGTGGATGTCAGTGAGTATCCGCGAAAGCTGTCACTCTACCTGTTTAGTCTTCAAAGAAGTCCCCAATACATGGATATGGAGAAGACAAGGCTGCATATTGAGACGAAGCAGACATGTCGATCAGGAGGAGGAATAGGATGAGGAGAAATAATATGTGTGTTTGTGTGATGTCAGAGGATGTGGTGAGGATTTGTGATAACCGTGTAAAAAAGTCAGCCTGAGTACTTCTGATCATCCGTGTGAGTGGCACGAATGTCCAGTGTATATTATGTGTTGTCTGTGAAGCGAATTCTCGGTAGCTGTTAGTCACTTCCTCTGGATGGTTGAGAGACTTCTTGAAAATATCGACATGGGAGCGAGAAACCTGGATGTTCAGGGAGAGAGATAGTAGTATTTGAGAGGGAGGATAGAAGCTAGAATAACGATAACATGTTGGTGTAGCTGTATTTGTAGGTGAAGTAGTAGGTGTAGGTGTAGGAGGAGAAATCTTAGAAGGTGTATGTGTATTTGTATATTGAGAGACAATTGTCTGAGAATTTCTGCGAACCGTGTAAACGAATCATCCTGAGTAGTTGTGATGATCGAAGCGAGTTGGTTGAAAGTCTTGTCTGTATTAGGTGGATGTCAGTGAGTATCCGCGAAAGCTGTCACTCTACCTGTTTAGTCTTCAAAGAAGTCCCCAATACATGGATATGGAGAAGACAAGGCTGCATATTGAGACGAAGCAGACATGTCGATCAGGAGGAGGAATAGGATGAGGAGAAATAATATGTGTGTTTGTGTGATGTCAGAGGATGTGGTGAGGATTTGTGATAACCGTGTAAAAAAGTCAGCCTGAGTACTTCTGATCATCCGTGTGAGTGGCACGAATGTCCAGTGTATATTATGTGTTGTCTGTGAAGCGAATTCTCGGTAGCTGTTAGTCACTTCCTCTGGATGGTTGAGAGACTTCTTGAAAATATCGACATGGGAGCGAGAAACCTGGATGTTCAGGGAGAGAGATAGTAGTATTTGAGAGGGAGGATAGAAGCTAGAATAACGATAACATGTTGGTGTAGCTGTATTTGTAGGTGAAGTAGTAGGTGTAGGTGTAGGAGGAGAAATCTTAGAAGGTGTATGTGTATTTGTATATTGAGAGACAATTGTCTGAGAATTTCTGCGAACCGTGTAAACGAATCATCCTGAGTAGTTGTGATGATCGAAGCGAGTTGGTTGAAAGTCTTGTCTGTATTAGGTGGATGTCAGTGAGTATCCGCGAAAGCTGTCACTCTACCTGTTTAGTCTTCAAAGAAGTCCCCAATACATGGATATGGAGAAGACAAGGCTGCATATTGAGACGAAGCAGACATGTCGATCAGGAGGAGGAATAGGATGAGGAGAAATAATATGTGTGTTTGTGTGATGTCAGAGGATGTGGTGAGGATTTGTGATAACCGTGTAAAAAAGTCAGCCTGAGTACTTCTGATCATCCGTGTGAGTGGCACGAATGTCCAGTG